ATCTAAGTATTTTGTGTGATAGTATCTTACATACCTTGTTTTGAATTTTTTTTTGCTTCCAAAAAGAGCATAAAGACAGGCATAACTACTATAATACAAGACACAAAACTCTATATGTACGTATGGGCATGTATAATTATTTTCGTGTGACAGTATTGATATTCATATATCATTTTACTGCGGTTAGTTAAGCCTTGTTCTCATAACAGTGCACTTTATTTACGTTCAAGCATTTTGAAATAGAAAATGGTACTGGTTTAATATCTTAAAGTTTGCTATTACCAAAAGCATTAACTAACTGGTCCAATTTCTTTTTTATTTTCATAGAAGTTGATGAGCGATATGGAACTGTGAATCATAATTTAGGTCCGCATAGTGAATAACATATTGTGGCATTGTAATTATGCAACTATCTAATTTTTTTTTGAATAGTTGAAGAGCGATACATGATTGAGAGTAACAATTTAGATAATTTAGATTAGTATAGTGAATGTTATATTGAAATTTGAGACTTGCAACTGGTCTAATTTTTTTTTTTTTATTAGTTGATGAGCGATACAGGATTGAGAATTATAATTTAGGTCAGAATATGAATAGCACATCATAATTATGTGACTGGTCTAATTTTTTTTTTTTTTTGATAGTTGACGGGCGATACATGATTGAGAATAATAATTTAGATTGGTATAGTGAATGTCTGTTGTTATTTGGACTTGCAACTGGTCTAATTTTTTTTTTTTTTTTATTAATTGATGAGCGATACGAGATTGAGAATTATAATTTAGATCAGAATATGGATAGTATATCGTAATTATGTGACTGGTCTAATTTTTTTTTTTTTGATAGTTGATGGGTGATACATGACTGAGAATAACAATTTAGACAATTTAGGTCAGTATAGTGAATAATTATGTAATTTGCAACTTGCGACTAGTCTAATTTTTTTTTTTTTTGTAGTAATAGTTGATGAGCAATATGGAATTGAGAATTATAATTTAGGTCAGTATAGTGAATAGCATGTTGTGCAATAGCATGTTGTAATTATGCAACTTTCTAATATATATATTTTTTAAATAGTTGAAGGGTGATACATGATAGAGAATAACAATTTAGACAATTTAGGTCAGTATAGTGAATATTGTGTTGAAATTTGTGACTTGTGACAATTTTTTTTTTTTTTTTAGTAGTTAATGAACGATATGGAATTGAGAATTATAATTTAGGTTAGTAAAGTGAATAGCATGTTGTGTAATAGCGTGTTGTAATTATACAACTATCTAATTTTTTTTTGAATAGTTGAAGGGCAATACATGATTGAGAATAACAATTTAGGCAATTTAGGTTAGTATAGTGAATATTGTGTTGAAATTTGCGACTTGCGACTAGTCTAATTTTTTTTCTTATATTAGTTGATGAGCGATACGGGATTGAGAATTATAATTTAGGTCAGAATATGGATGGCATGTCGTAATTATGTGACTGGTCTAAAGTTTTTTTTTTTTTGATAGTTAACGGACAATACATAATTGAGAATAATAATTTAGGTTGGTATAGTGAATGTATGTTGTTATTTGAACTTGCAACTGGTCTAATTTTTTTTTTTATATATAATAGTTGAGGGACAGTATGAGGCTGAGAATAATAATTTAGGTCAGTATAATGAATAGCGTGTTGTAATTTGCAACTTGTAACTGGTCTAATTTTTTTTTTTTATAATAGCTGAGGAACAGCATGAAATTGAGGAGAATAACTTTGGTTTGTATAGTGTAATTATGCAATTTGGTCTAATGTAGTGCTGTACAATAATATATGAATAATAAAAGTTGTAAATACTGAAGAAAGAGAAAATGCTATCTCTTAAACTGTGAGCAATTCCAGGCAAATTTGCCTGGTAAATTTACTTATGATTTACTTTTTTTAAAATTTAAAATATTTAAATAAAATTTTTTTTGATAATATTCGAAAATAAGAATTATATTATAGTAGTATTTAATTTTATATTATAAGAAAAAAAGTTTGGGTTGCTTATAAGCCAAAAATAAACAAATTTAGAAAAAAATTTTAATCAAAAAAATAATTTACAAATTCTTGACGAACT